TTCGGAGACAAAAAATACCTACATTTGATATCACCTTTTCCAATGTGTCTTTCCTTAATTGATCGAATTTCCCTTCACGCTTAAACGCATCTACTAATTCATCAATTATTTTAGTTGTCTCTTCTTCAGTCATTCTTCGTAATGCATAATAAGAAACCAGATCCGCTTCGACTAATAGATACTCCCTTGTAAAGAAACCACGGTACAATACCCCTCAGACGAGTTAGAGCAGCTTTACCAATGTAATTATTAGCAGAACATTCTTATCCTAAATAGTGCAGATTTTTTACCTTCTCTATACAAAAAGCCGTAATCTAGTTGAGCTTATACAGAAGGTGTATTACTTTGCCGTAACCAACGCAGACCATGATTTTCTTCGTCAGTATTCTACCCTCTTTACTGTATAAGGAATTGTTCTGCACAAACGACGCATTCTACCCAATACAACCCCGAAGAATTTCAAGTACCCCCTCTTTCCTTCTACATGACCTGACTTTTAATGAATCTTCAGCTTCCACATGGTTTCTTACTGCGTTTTTGTGATAGAATTGTGGCTTATTAGATGAATACATGCTCAGCAGCTGTGACTTTGTTTGGCTTAATAGTTCCAATTTGTAAATCACACATCTTTCGACTAGTAAATCTGGTTATTGTCACGAATACCACCCAAATTTCAGCTGGTTACCTCCTCAAACGAAAGTAGCCCAGATAAACGGCGAAAAGTGGCTGAGTGCAGAAAATACATCCCTACCAGCCGCAACACAAATCTGCCATAATCCAAAGCCCAAAAATTCGGTGCTGCAGCAATGAGAGGGAAAAGACGCAACACGAAGCTAAATCTCGAAACATACTCACAGAAGAACTATATAGGCACTTCCGCAAAAGCACGATCACGAACATCTGCGTATAAAAGCACCAGGAGGCAATAGAGTATTAAAAATTGAATCTTCAGAAAAAAAAAAGGTAAACAGAGTTCTACCAAAAGTGCGCTAAGCGAATCCGTGGAATTTAAAATTTGATAAATAAAACAAGGAAGATAGACTGTCGGCAACTCCATTACAAATTTGAGTGATACAGCTTTCGTGCAGAGCAAACATCTGTTGTGGGCGTTTTTTAACAGAGTTGGAAATTTGCCATTAAACCAATTAAAGTTTCTCCTGGAAACTTACTACGATTTTTTGCTCTAAAGCTATGCAAAGGTTTTTGATGCCTTTGCAACGGGTATATATTATATTTCTAATTTGATTTATTTTTTTGCGTAATCTTGCTTCGTTTTCAAGATCTGAACACTTTTTTCTGCCTATCAACTGTTACTATTTAGGTATTTCTCAGAAACACATTTGCATCGGTGCCATATTCGTGTAAGAATAAGAAAAGTTAAAATTAATATGAAATTGATTTTACTAATATTCTTATATTTGTTTTGTGCACGATTGGTTATGAGTGTTAAGAAGGTGAAAAACTATAGTTTTTTGGTCTCGTAATAAATTTATAGTCGGTTTGAGGTTCCCAGTCTTCCCAACATGTCGGGACCAATATTAGGAGGTTTTAGTGATTTGGATGTTAACGATAAAGAAGTTCAGGTAATCACTGTGTAAAGCTTTCCAGTTTCTATCATGTAACACTTGGTTGTTGAGAGTTTGATTATGAGTATTAAGGGAATCGCAACTAGGGCAATGACAAAAATAAATGCAATGCGTAATGGTATTTTCTACATGGCTAAATTAAAAATACTGAGTGTGAAACAACAAGTTGTGGCTGGGACGAATACAGTTATTGAAATATTGGCTCAGGAATCGACGTGCGATAAAACGGTGAACTGATGTTCTTCACTTTTCATTAATGGGCAGCTGGAGCATTGAAAAAGATTCTCTCTAGGCTGGCCCCGCGTCAAATACCATGACTTTTTTAATTGATCTTCTGAATTATTTAAAACACTGTCATGTTGTAAATGTCGAGCTCAGGTTTTCCAGTTGGAGAAGTGCCGCAAAGTCGCCGAAAAAAATGTATGAACGAAAAAGTCAGACCATTGTGAATTGAAAAAACATTAGTGTTTGCTCGACAAGACCGTCTTTGGAGATATATATATATA